GGGGGGGGGCAGCAGGGAGCTGAGAGAACTGGTTTTCAGTCCCCCAACCTGCCCTGTTTCAATGGGTGGAAGTACACCACCGTAGTGTGGACATCAGCCACCACTGTAATTAATGTGATGTCTGTAAGTCAACCTAACACAGGTAGACTTATTTTTAGTGTAGACATAGCTTTAGACAGGGCTTCATCCTCTTGAGTACCAACTGTGATTGCCAACAGGTCTGACTGGGTTTGGCATGTGCAGTTCTTCCCTTCAGGAAGCAGTGAACAGTGATCAGACAGCCTTCTGGAACCAAAGTACTGTTTATTTTAACAGCAGAAACAATTCAAAAAGAGCAAAAGGATTTTAAAACAACAAATAGTCCACACACACATCTGTCTTATCCAGTCCCCTACCATACTCTGATGGTTACATAGACAGATCTCTTTTTTTTCCAAATGTTCCAGCAGCTGTCAGTCTCAGTTGTCCCCTCAAGTAACTTCCTTCTCTTGTGAAGAGAGAGTATTCCTTGTACACTGCTATTGTTCATTTGTTCTTCTGTGTAGAGAGGGTTTGGGACAAAACCAGTCTGGTAGACTCAGTAGGATATCAAGCCAAATGACTCTGACATTGTCCTTTAACACCCCCCACGTGTTTGCTGAGAAATGGCTTATCTTGAGCTATTCTTTTCTTTCCTTCTAGTTTTTCCATTCATTATCCCTGTTACACGAAACCATGCTATCCGCACTATAAACATTCCAGTGATCAGGTCAACATACACTATGCAAAGATTATTACAGTGTAGCTTCATATCCATTACAGGTGTGTCCCGAAGTCTTTTCTTACTGTTGTAGTTTGGTGCTGAGCAAACCTTTAGGCTGTGAAAATTGATACACTTTACAGATGTCATCCAATTTCCTTGCATATACTTCCTGAGCAGGTGATGAATTCATGAGGTGGGATCAATGGTAATTTTGTAGCCATAATGCATTTGTTTCATAATGCACCTGTGCATCAAACTGTCTCCTGAACTAGATAAGTCTATCTTAAGTGGCTATGGAAAATGGATTATATTATATATAGATATCTATTTAAAACCCTTGTACATACCCAAACGCATGAAGAGCTAGTGCAGAGATCCAAAAATGAGTAAAATTTTAAGATGGCATTTGAACTGCAAATACCTAGACATAACAGAAATAGGCTAATTGTCTCTTAATTACCTGAGTTTCTGCTAGACAGTCCTTTAGTATTTGTAAAGCACCTGGTGTAATCTGGTTCTGGCTCATGACTATGGCTCGCAGGTGTTACAGGAATACAATCATAATAATAATAGTAATCTTGATATATGATATTTTGGCATTTCAGTTCCTCCTTTAATTATTAGGCCTATTTAAAAGACGAAAATTAGCTTTGTATAAGTACCTCACGCTGGGGGACAAAAAAAAAATCCACACCCTTAAGCAATGTAATGAATCCCACCAACCTCTCATGTGAACAGTGTTATGGCAGTGAGGGAACTTCTCTTATCAACAGAGATACCATCTCTTGGGGGAAGTGGAATATTGATGCCAACACAAGAAGCCCTCCTACTGGTGTTAGTAGCATCTCCACTGAAGTGCGATAGTGGCACAGCTGCAGCTTGTAAGGCCATGTCTACTCTTGCACTTATGTCAGCAAAACTTTGATCACTCAGGAGTGTGAAAATTGGTACTGCTCTGCTGCTGTCAGCTGGTAGGCGTAGACATCGGCCTAAGTTAGTCTTGCCCATAGTTTAACAAAGAGTAAACTAAATTGTTTCATGTTCATTATTTCTTTCATAGACCATAAACACTCCTTTGGACCTGGTCATTTTTGTCATGTAATTACAGTTAGATACACGAGGCAAGTTAAAAAAAAAAACCCTCTGAATAGTAAAAACCCTGTCTGAAAAAAGTCATAGTTGTGGAGTAAGCAGTTTAAAAAAAAACTTCACTTGCTTAAGAGGCTAAAATCTAACTGTTTCAATGCACTATACCCACGTTGATTGAAAAACACCATTAACACTTCACATGTTAAACGAAAGCCTATTTCACATGATAAATGCCCTCAAAAGCATCTAAAATCAGAAATATTCTTTGTCCTTTTTTAAGCTCACTTTTTAGTACTTAAGTTGGAAAAAACTGAGACTGATGTTGACATATTAATGTGTCTATAATGAATAAACAGAAGATTTTAAAGTTCTAACCCACCAGCAGTCTCATTTATCATTCCATTTTTGGAAGGGAAATAAAAGATTTAAATGTCAAAGCTATAATGTCAGGACTGTTTATAATGTCAAGTGTTGCTGGTTGCATACGCTGTCTGCTGTCTTGATCAAACCAGCAACTGGTATGATAATTACAGATGATGTGGCACATATCATGTGCAATTGGATACAGATTTGAAGTGAATCTGGGAGAAAAAAACATTCTATGTTCAAGCCTTGATAATTTCCCTTCATCTGTGGGGTGCAATAGCCCACACAATCATTAATGTGCATGAAACTGCTGCTTTCAAAACACCTAGCAACCATGCCCCTGAGTATGATCAGACAATGAGAATTTATTTTCATAATTGAGTGCTTGTAATTTGATAACCTGTTTCAGATTTGAGAGACACTCCATCTTCAATAGAACCAAAGAGAACTACAATTCTCCCTCTACTACTTGCTCCTGCAGTTTCTTTTCAGCTCAGGCAATTAATCTTATTATTTCTGAAGTAAAATTGTGGGGTTTTTTTTAAACTGTCCTCTGGACTTTTTAAATAATTACTCCATAAAGGGCAGTGTTACTCAACAGTTCCAAAGGGTAATGAATTGATTAATGGTTGTATTCAGATTAAGGTGAGAAGAAAACTAGGTTTAATAAACCCCCCATTGGACATCAAAGCATTAAGTCATTTTAATTTAAAGATGTAATAAAACCAAGAAAGTTTTCCAAATGGATGTTTATCTCTGGCACAGTAAGCTGATGGAGGTATTTCCAAGATAATCCACTCCTATTTTAAGCACTGATTAGTGCAAATGTTAATACAAACCATGCTTCATTCTTAATTGATCCAGATAGAAGCCAATCCTATTTAGTGGTTTATCACCACATTGTAAATTACAGGTAAAACCAGTGCTTAAAAGAACCAATTCATTAGCTCAATATCTTCTGCAAAGTGTGTGTGTGGTTTTTTTTTTGTTTTGCTATTGTCAGTGTTTATCCATTACTCTAAACATTGTTGATAGTGATCAGAGAGGCTGGTTGTGCTGCCACAAATAAGTTTACTATTGTGTGTGGATAAAGTTTCATGTTCAGTAGTCACTGTATCCATTGACAAGAAAGAAAAAAATAAGGTACAGACACAAGAGTGAAGTCTCTGAGGTGACAATTATTCCTGGAGGTTGACGTCAGTGACTGTCTATGCAGAGTCTTGAAGATTTCTAATATCTGTGGTGGTCTCAGGGTCAGCAAACCTCAGATGCTATGACGCCTCCCACTTTGTATGACTTTAAGTACATTGGAAAGGTCAAAACTTTTTGAAATCAGTTCCAAGAGGCTTGTGTCACTTTCCACGCCATTGATAAACTCTTCTAAAGTCAATTCCCCTAAAATGAAACAAAATTCAGTTTAGAAACTGGAGGCCAGAGATTATTAGGTCCCGCTGAACCCTGCTGTAATAACTGGGCTTACACATTTATCCCATTTGCGAACATCCCTGTGGGAGTGTGGAGTAACATTTGTAAAGTGGCTCAGTGACCTATAACTATAAATATTGATGTGAAAAGGTGCAAAGGGAACTAGAATTATTAGTCCAAACAAAAAGGCCTCCTGATATAACTCAAGGAGTGTTTAATATCATGTCTGGTAAATAAGAGGTTTGTGGGACTGGAAATCAGTGAACCCATATTAGCGTGTCAGAAATTAGGCCTAACTGGTAGATAAAACAATGAGGATACCAATGATTTTGTCCATCGGTCCCTTTTAGGAGACTTAAAAGGAAAGGCTTGGGGAATGTAATTAGGAGAAGCAGAAAAGAAGCTGTCAGCCGACCACCTCTGAAGTGAGCGGAACCATCATGGCTACCACTCCCACCATCTTCATGGACACTGGAATCTATTGTAATGTTGTTGGGCATTTGTCATCCTGATCCAGAAATTTCCTGACCAGACTCGGCCAGGACAGAATTTAAGATGACATCCTCACTTTTTCCACTGACTCTGGCTGAATCCCAACCACCACCATGGATGTGAAAGACTGTTACACCCTTCTCCCTCTTGTTTATCCTTAGCCTTCCACAACTTATTTCTTGTCTTTCCTATCCTTCTTCCTTCTAATGAGTATCTGGTCTAGCTGGCCTTGTCTGTAAGCCTGTTACCAGAAAGGCAGCTAAAAGCAATGCCTTAAAGAGCCTAACTATTGTGTGGGCAGATCTCAAAACTACTGAGAATCAACTACATGATGACATGCCTGTGTTTCTACAGAAATGATGTCGCATGTGAAATTCAACACAAGAGATAGAAGCTGCACATTCTATCGTTGCTGTTCTTTTTCTATCCTCTTAGTGTACTTATCTTGTTTTGTTTCTATTGGGAAATGGGATCCAACTTTAACTTCAGTGGGAGCTCCAGCCAATTTCAGCTAACTTCCTATCTTTTCCCCCCAAATGCAAGCTATTACCATCTTTGATACCAAAGACAGTCAGACAAGGAGTTTTCTTTTAAAAGTTTTCTACACAGAACGCGAACAAGGGATATTGTTGAAATGAAATCCTTACTTAATATCTCACATTTCCAAGGCTTTAACTGTTTTTCTTTCTTTCTCTGCATCTCTATGTGGCTTAAATGATTGCTAATGGTGAGTTTACCCTGGCACTAAGCAAGCTGGTGGTAAACTGTATACCAAACCCCAAATCTTGCTTAACACTTTTTATGTTGGGCAGTGACTGGGATGTGTTAATACCTTTGACTCTTTGGAGCCATTGATTCCTTCTGAATTAAAACAACACCCACCACATGGCTATTTTCCATGGATTGGGTTCATTGTCATTTTCATGTTCTGTCTCACTTGAGATTTGAACAGAGATCACTGAAATATAAAACAGGCCTTGTCTACCCTGCATGTTGCATTTCAAACTGAAAATCAGAACATTGGTAGTTTATATCTGTTAACATGGGTGCTATCAACCACAACTCCTATTGAAGTGAATGGCAGCTACCAATGCTCAGCATTGTCAGCAAAGAAAAAGATCACAAATGAAAGCATCATAAAGGCTGAACCTAACTGCACAGCCCTATAAAGAAAATAATAACAGTCATGTAGGCAAGCTTCTCAAACTATGGCATTTACAGTTAGCCAAATGGACAGTGACATCTATGCTCTGCTGTAGTATTTAGTCCTGATGTATTTGAAGTGTGGGTTATAACTGGACACTCTGATGATCAATATTGATTAGATAATGACAGCCTTATGTGAAGTGCTCCCAATTTCCAGAGACTGTGTTGAACACCAGAATGACTTAAAGACAGCGCTGAGATTCAGCATTCAAAACGAGAAACTTTTTTAGTCTTCGGCTGATTTTTCTACCATGGGAAGGATGGGAGCACCCACTCCAACACAGTAGGTCCAAATCCTGGTATCCTTTCAATGTTATTTACAAAGTCTTTGTGCTATGGATTCATGATACAGCCCAGTTGGTACATAAATCAGTTTCATGAACAGCCGAAACATGAATTTTAAGAATGTAGTGTAGGATTTTCAAGATAACTTAATGATTTCAGACCATAAGTTCCACTGACATTCAGTGGGACCTGCGCTTCTGGCACTTAGTCTTTAAGGACGCATTTTTTTTTTCGGTATTCCCACAATATTCTTACCAGCAAGTTAAAGAAGTATGAATGAAATGAAATGCAATTGTGGGATTTTCAAAAACGCTTCAGGGTGCGTCTACACTTGCACCCTAGTTCGAACTAGGGATGCAAATGTAGGCAACCGAAATTGCTAATGAATCAGGGATTAAAATATCCCACCCTTCATTAGCATGATCTCGCCGGTGTGTTACTCCGCTCAACAGCTGTTCCGAAAGTGAAAGTGAACGCGGGGATGTGTTAGTTTGAACCAAGCCTCTTGGTTCGAACTAATGTTATTCCTCATTTTGGGGGGCAGGTCCTAGAACCCGAACAGGCAGCCCCAACACCAAGAGGGAGACCTGCCCCTCGACAACTTGGTGGAGAATCTGGGTACTGGATCACCCCTGAACCTAGAGGAGGTAAGATGATGTTAGTGCAATTAGAGGGACAAAACAGTGATTTAAAGAGGGTGGGATGGAACCCGCAAAATTTCTGGAAGGGCTGGCCAAGAGACAGTGGGAGCAGCTCCAACAGCTGAGCCAGATGCTGCAGCAATGGACTGCTTAACAACTGCAGCAACAACAGCAGCTGTTCCAGAAGCTAGTGGAGTTGTGGCAAGCCCAACAGGATCAATGGCTGTGATCGTGGGAGATGGCGGACTGTGGATACGCCCAGGGATTGACCGTGGGGCACCGGTCTCAGGGAAGCGGGCCAGCAAAGGTTGTGGCTGAGGTATAGGTGGAAGGGACCCCTGTCAGGGCCCTAATATACTCCAGGTGTAGCCAGACCTTGATACAGGATAACCTGTGATGGACCCCGAACCTTCAGGGGGTCCTGTCCTACTGCAGTGTGTACATGGGGATGTAAGGTCGTACCCGATAGCTTGGTTGTGAATAGCAGACTCCTGTGAGGAAAAGATTTGTCGGGTGGGATTGGTCCCCCGACTGGCGTACCTGGTAATATTGGGACAAGATTGGCCAGGTCTCCGCAGGTTGCTCCAACACTGGGCCCAGCAAGAACCATCAGAAATAGGAAGGCAGCCCTGAGGAGGAACGGTGGCAGCTCAGGGTGACACCCCAGAACCTAATAAAGAACTGGGAGCTGAAACTGGGACAGCAGGCCAAGCGAGACCCCAGCGGCTGCTGGTAGATGGGAAAGAGACAGAGTGACCGGAGGCCAGAGAGGATTTTCTGTGGGACCAGCGAGAGGACCCAACGTTAAGCCAAGCCTGGGAGCAAATCCAAGAGACAGAGAGCGAGGAACCAAGAGACAGGCTGGCGGTGAGGACTGAGGTTTGAGATTTGAAACAACCGGCTTTACCGGGTGGTTCGAGACCCGCAGATGGACGAGGAATTTGCGCAGCTTCTAGTGCCCTCCAGTTACAAAAAGGGGGTGCTGCGGTTGGGCCATGCCAACCCCTAGGCTGGACACTTGGGTTGGGAGAAAACCCTGCAGTGTGTGGCCCAGAGATTTTTTTGGCCAGGAATCCACTGGGAGGTACATTAGTTCTGTGAATCCTGCCCCGAATATCAGCACACCAACCCAAAGGGAGTACTCAAGGCTGCGCTGGTGGCCCTGCGAGTGGTAGGAGTCTGCTTTGAGCAGATCGGGTTGGACTTGGTGGGGATCTTCGAGAAGGCAAGCTCGGGGTGCCAATATATCCTGGTTATAGTGGATTGTGCTACAAGGTACCCCGAGGCAGTGCCGTTACCGAATACCACAGCCCCTACCATAGCCGCTGAACTCCTTAAGGTGTTCTCCAGAGTGGGGATACTGAAGGAGATACTGACAGATCAGGGCACCAACGTTTCATCCAAATGAATGGCAGAGCTACTCCGGCTGTTAAACATCTGAGCCCTGCAAACTACCGTATACAATCCCTAAAGAGACGGCTTGGTAGAGTGGTTTATTCAGACATTGAAATCAATGCTCTGGAAGTTTGTAGAAGAGGATCCCTGGGGCTGGGACAAAATTCTCCCAGCCTTACTTTTCGCCATGCAGGAAGTGCCGCAAACATTGACAGGTTTCTCCCCTTTCGAGCTCCTCTACAGGCAGCAACTCCAGGGGATGCTTGACCTCCTGAGAGAGGACTGTGAGGTGCAGGAGTCCCGGGTGATGGGCACGGTCCCCTATGTGTTGCAGTTGAGGGAGTGCCTGCAGAAGTTAGGGGAATTTGCATGGACCAACCTGCTGCAGGCTCAGGAGATCCAAGCCCTGTACTATAATAGGGGGACGAAACTATGGACTTTTGAGCCCGGAGACTGTGCGCTCCTACGCTTACCCTCTAAGGAATCAAAATTGCTCACCAAATGGCAAGGCCTGTTTGAGGTAGTGTACCAGGTAGGACCCATAGATTACGAGGTGAGATTGACAGGTAGGAAGAAAGGTGTGCAGATTTATCACGTGAACTGGCTAAAAAAATGGAAGTTGCATGAAGGAATCTTGATCACCTCCGGCCCGCTCGACGATGACTTAGGACCTTCGACCATGGACACCACCACCAACCAACCGATCACCCTGGGAGAAGAACTGAACCCGGAAGAAAGGAAGGAGTTACACTGCTTGGTCCTAAAGTACTCCCACGTCTTATCCACGCATCCAGGCTGGACTAGCTTGATCAGCCATCATATAAGCACCCTACCGGGCAATAAAGTACGTAATCATCATTGCCTGCTACCAAGGAAGATGTGGGGGCCCGTACAGAAAGAGCTCCTGGTGATGCTGGAAATGGGAGTAATAGAAGAATCACGCAGTGAGGGGCGGAGCCCCATCGTGCTTGTCCCAAAACCAGATGGATCGATACAATTTTGTATTGACTTCCGGAAGGTTCGATGCCTATCCCATGCCACGAGTGGATGAGTTGTTAGAAAGACTAGGTAAAGCCCGGTACCTCTCCACATTGGACTTAATGAAGGGGTACTGGCAAATCCCGCTGACCCAGGCCTCCAAGAGAAGACTGCCTTCCCCACACTGTTTGGGCTGTATCAATTCATCACCATGCTCTTCGGACTACATGGGGTGGCTGCCACCTTCCAACGCTTAGTAGACTAACTATTGCACCCCCACCAGCTATATGCCATTGCATACAGAGATGATATAGTGGTCTATAGCCACACATGGCCGGAATATCTCCAACACCTGGAAGTGGTACTAAAGACCCTGGGGAGCGAACCTTACAGCAAACCCCGGAAAGTGTCACTTGGGACATAGGGAGGTGACTTATATGGTGTGGGAGAGGGACTTTGAGACCCTTAGTGGAGTGGAAAAGGCCAACGACGAAGAGACAGATTCAGCAATTCCCGGGACTGGTGGGATATTATCTCCAATAGATGCCCGACTTTTCAGCATTGGCGGCACCACTATTGGACCTGACCAGAAATTCCATGCTGACCAAGATACAATGGGCACAGGAGCGTGAGGGGGCTTTCCAAGCATTGTAAAGACATTTGATGGAGGTGCCAGTGTTGTTTCCTCCAGACTTTTCTAACAACTTTATCCTCTACACAGATGCCTCCAAGAGGACAGACTCCACACTGAAGGGCAGGGAGTAGCCCAGGCCCAGCTGTCTGAGAAGGTCCTGCCCATCCAGCTCTGCTGGGCATGCTCCCAGCAGAGCCAGAGCATAAAAGCAGAGAGAGCCCTGCAGCGAGGAAGGCTGCTGGGGGAAGGAGTAGGCCAGGCAGCACCTGTGTTTCTGCAGCAGCTGAAACCTGAGTCGCTGCCCGCAGCCGACTCCAGAGCCGAGCAAGCAGCCGCCACCCCCGGGGAGGCAGGAGCACCCTCAGACCCAGCGCCAGCCCTGGTAAGAACCGATCTGGGACTACAGGGGAGCCAGGGTGTGGTAGGAAGCAGCCCAGGGCAGAGGATTGATAGAGGGGCGCGGCATGTATCAGCCAGATTCCCCACTAAGCAGACAGGAGCCATAGTCTCTGCCTAAAGGGCCCTGGGTTAGGACCCAGTGGAGAGGGAGGGCCCGGGTCCCCCTACCACCCTTTTCCCTACCTTGGCCATCTACCTCTGACCCAGGAGGGGCTTTTTTTGTGACTGGGCAGCAGGTGCCCTATATGCCCTGATAGAGGGGCATGAACTTTGTGACTTGGCACAAGGGCCAAATATACCCTAGGGGAAGGTCCTAGAACCTGAACAGGTGGCCCCAACACCGAGGGGGAGACCCACCCCTCCACACCATTCCTCACAACTTGCTACATTTTTTCCCTCTTTCTCAATTTCCCTTCCTTCATAATGACCTCAATCAATCCTCCCTGTGCCAACAACCAGACTGCCCTGAACTAACTCCTCCCCACTTCCAGGCAACTTGAAAAGTTTATGACAGGTGTATGAGCACTCACTTATATGCACATGAAAACATTTTAATTATAAGTAGGAGGGAGGGAGGGGATAGGAAGTTATATCAAGAGATACCCACTGATTGGGATTCCAGAGAGCCAGTCAACCTAGGCAATCACGTACAGGGGCAGCATGTGAGTATAGGCCGACTCAGCGGTCGCCTAGGGTGCTGCCTTCAACAGGGCGCCCGGGGTGCCTGATGATGATGTCACGGGACGCCCAATGATTCCGTCATGCTATTGATGCCTGTGCATGAGGGGGCGCCGATCGCACGTTCCACCTGGGGCGTCAGCTGCTGCAGCTGGCCTTGGGACGTTCCTGATCTCATATACAATTCAATAGCACTTCTGCCTTCACAAGAACTGCTTTCATTATTGACCCACAATCATGGATTATTCCCTTCTATTTTAGTATGGGGAAAGGCACCATTCAAATTTTCTCTATGTCCTACAGGAATTAAATGCAAGGGGAGCACAGCTTCCCTGCTTGGCTAAAATCAGGGAGTGGAGGGGTTGACTCTTCATTTGAAGCTGGGGGAACCCTGTTTCCCTAGTACTTACTGTTTCAGTCTAAGAAGGAACTAAACTTGGAGGGGAAATGGGTGCATCATGAGGAGGGCGTGCTGAAGAACCCATTCTAATGAACATCATGCCACCTTATTGATAACAACAATAAGGTGGAATGGTGACACCATTGATACCTTTTTTTTGCAGGTCTAATTCAAAAACATATTTTTGTAACAAATAGATGTTCAAAACAGAAACAAAATTAAATGTAATTATACGATTCATTTTAGAGTCTGGAACAGACATTTGGGGTCTAGAACCTGGATTCTGACAAAAAATGAGCCAAATGATAGGGGAAAAAAACCCCTGCCACATTATTCAGTGCCTCCAAGGGGTTAATATTTATGCCCTGCAAGTATTGCACACAGGTTATTTTTAAAAGTAACCTTTAGATACCAATAGGTATACAATACAAACCTGCTAATATATGGTTCTGCTACACAATATTTTCCTAATATTGCTGATTTGTCAACAATTGTGGCAGTAGTCATAAAGATGTGATATGATTGCAAATAGGGGGAAGATGTTGTCTACATGATCACCAGTGGCAGGAGAGGTGACCACAAGACACTATTAAGATGTGGCCCAAATTATGAAGATGTCATATTACAAACACTTGCCCCAATCCCCAAATCATGTATGAAGAGTTTAGTTTCCAAATGCATTTTCAATTCTGTTATCCTGTGATATACAGTATTTTAGAAAAAATACCATCACGCCCTACTATCATAATGTGCATGTTAGTCAATGGGCCTGATGATACTCTAGTTGTTACTATTAGTTTAAATCAGAAGGAACTCCTCTGAGTCACATGTAAATGAGAAAAGAATAATATCTACTGCTAGTCACTTCAATACATTTATACATATATATACATGCACACACACACACACACACACATATATATTTTCCCCGAATGTCCCCATTCCTTTCAGAAAAAAACAACAAAGTCAAGTGAAGTAAAGACTGTTACCATCACTGTTTACATCTATCTTCTGAAATACCATGTCTGTGAACTCTTCAGGAGTCATACTCTGGTGGCCATTAATAGCCTGGATAGCCTGAAAAAACAAATAAAGGGAGAGCTTTTAAGTTTTTTCTTTCATACCAAGAAAGGACATGTAGCAACTGTGGCACTTGGCTATGACACTTCAGCTCACCAATCCACTTGAGCCACTAAAAGGAACAGATACGATTTCAAGTAAATCTTCAGTAATGAGGATTGGAAATTTAATTAGCATAACAGAGCCTGCAGGATTATAGACCTAATTTACATACTATTATAGAGCTTGTCAAACCATGTGACACCTCAGTCCTGAAACACACTTCAGATTTCACAGCAGCATTTATATCCTGCCTTAGATAATTCTGTAGTTTGGATAGTGCCTAATGTTCTGTGCATTTAAAAACAACAACTGTTTTTTACACAGTAAGATGAGCCGGGTGAGAAAATGTAAGTAACTATTCTACTGAAAACCAGAAGCAAACAATCAGGCAGCAGCAGAGAGAGAAAAATGTAAATACTGTACTATGCCTGTGTCGCATCTTAAAAGTAGGCACATCAGGGCTGTCTATCAGCTCTATTTATTATGCTATTACAGGCCCATTCTTCTGTATAGTGTTGTTTATCAAAAGAATATCTCTACAGCAAATAACCGTTTTATAGTATCCCTATTTACTCAAGTGGTACAGCTGTAGGATAAGTCTTGAAGTAAAATACTCAGATACATGTACATCGGCAAACATAAATAGTAGCAAGAACATTACCAACCAGAAACATTAGTAAACTGTAGTTGAATCATTTAAGTTACTTGGCAAATCACTTCTCCAGAGGCAATGTGTTATATTAAATTCACTTGCTTACTGTGAATATGCTTAGCAGTTCTTTTTTGTCAATAGATCCATTTCCATCAGCATCATATAACTTAAAATACCATTTCAGTTTTTGGTCGATTTTTCCTCGTATAACCAAATTTATTGCAGCAATAAACTCCAAAAAGTCTATAAATCCATCCTAAGAAAGATAAAAAAAAGTGTTCAACAAGAAAAAAAAATGTGTTTAACATTCTGGAAGCAATCTTGCATAAGCAGGTCATCTAAGGCAGTATAATATAAGCTCATTTATAAAGCACCTTGCTGTGAAAATCTCCTATGGCATTTCAAAAGGATAACACACCTTAAAGCAATATGGAAAAGAGATTTAGTGCATATCATATCATCCCAACCATGGGGCAGCTCCATCCTTAGCAGCTGATATTGACATTGACTGGAATGCAATACAGAAAATGGCTTCTCATTATACTTCCACGCACCGAAGAATTCCATCAGCCTGACTTCACTGGTACTAAGGATCCAAAATAGGGTTCTTTAAAATGTGTATCTGCCTTGACAAAGCAATTGAAAAATGACATCTTTGTACCCTGCTTTCTGTGATATCCAAGTGAGAAATCACGTGGTAAACCGTGTCAGTAAAATGGCATCGTGGGTGGATAGACCCCTCCTTAAACTCCCCCCTCACAAATTTTTAAAAAGAACATATTTAAATAAAACTGTCCCAGCATTCTACTGTTTTCCTGCCGTGGCACCACTCATATCCCTCAGAGATCCAGAACCTGTTTCTTTTCTCTCTGTTGCCTAGTTATAAAGGAAGGGTAGAAGTGATGCAACGCAGAAGGCTTTGAGCAGTGTGCAGATCTAGAGACAACTTCATCTTGGGAGCAAGGAAAAAGGGCAGGGACTTGATTTTTAAGATGGGAGGCCATTGTTACAGGGCATTAGGGCCAAGAATTTATGGATATTGATTATCCATCAAAGTCTCCAGTTGCTCTTCATCTCCAGCCATGGAATTTTGGAATGGCTGTAAAAACCTCATGCTTCCGAGTTTAAACCAGTCTTTTACCTACTAGGGATTAGGAAGAAACCTTTATGGGAGACAGGCCTCACTGACAAGTGTACAGCTGGAAACCAGTCTGGTTTACCTGTGAGTCTGTATAGTTAAAATAGAATATTAATGTTATAAGAATGTGTGAAGTGTTTAGACTTTATGGAATGCTTGTAGGATGCCATGTGTGCTAATTTTCCTTATTGTATCTGTATCCTTGCAAAAAAAGGTAATATTTAAAGTGTTTGTTCCACAACTGTTTGTTCTGAAACTGTGTTAGTTCACTACATAGGGGAAAAAAAGTCACCTAATGCAAAATGCTGGATTCCTACAGAAGGTATTATCTCATATCTATCAGGACGGACCATTGAATCCAAATGGACCATTGTGTTACAATAACATTGTTGATTTGCTCCTTCCCACTCCCCATGTGCAGGAGTGTTCATCTCACCAGCTTGGGCTCTAGGGAGGTGGAGATAATAAATCAGAAGGCATTGGGATTAGGGCTGTCAGCGATTAATCGCGTGATTAATTGCGTGTGCCTCCTCTTTGAAATGCTGCTGCAGTGTTTCAATGGGACAGTGCTGCAGGGAGCCGGGATCAGCTAAAGTCCCCAGCTGACCCTGGGCTCCATGCAGTGCTGCCCCTTTGAAGAGCCACGGTGGTGCATCAAAGGGGCAGCGCAACACGAAGCCCAGGATCCCGGGCTCCGCGTTGCACTGCCCCTTGGAAACACTGCTCTGGCACCTCAAAGGGGCAGCACATTAGGAGCCTGGGGTCAGCTGGGAACTCCCCAGCTGATCCTGGGCTCTGTGCAGCATTTCCCCAGAACCCAGGATCAGCTAGGCAGTCCACAGCTGACTCCGGTCTCCATGGCAGCTGCCCCTTTGAAATGCCAGAGGCGGTATTTTAAAGGGGCAGCTGTGTAGCCCGGGATCAGCTGGGGACTCCCGGAGTCAGCTGTGGACTGCCTAGCTGATCCTGGGTTCTGGGGAAATGCTGCACAGAGCCCAGGATCCACTGGGGACCCCCGGTCCCACTGCCATGTGAAGCCCAGGCTCCAGGGCTGCCCTTTTAAAATGCCGCCTCCGCGCGTGTTTCAAAGGGGCAACCCTGGACCGTGGGGTCAGCTGGCAACTCCCCAGCTGATTCTGGGCTCCACATAGCATTTCCCCAGAAACCGGGGTCAGCTGGGTGGTGGAGGTGGCGTTCCCAAGGGGCAGTCGCTGCACAGCTGATCCTCAGCTCAGCTGTGGGGCGGCTGCCCCTTTCAAACACCACCTCTGTGCATTTCAAAGGGACAGTGGAACCCAGGGTCAGTTGGGGAGTCCTGGGCTCCGTGTTGCGCTGCCTCTTTGGTAGGGTTGCCAGATGGTTTAACCAAAAATACCGAACATGCCCTCCCCTCCCCCACCAAAAAAAAAGCTACCAGGGAAAAAATTCTGTGGAGAAAAAAAAAAGGGGGAGACCAAAGTTGTTGAGCAGATGAGAGAATTTTGTCATCACACTCTCTCCTCTCTGGCTGTGAAAGTGAAAATGGCCAGACAAAGCAGTGTTGGTGAGTGTAGCGAGCACAGGGTGCAGCCTGCTTGTTCGTGTTAATAATAAAAGCGTAGCAGCAAAGCAAGGACTTCCTGGCTATTTAAGAGGTTATAATTTGTAACTTATAGTTACTGCCACAACATTAGGAGGAATTTGGACTATTGAAGACTTTGCAATTAATAAATGCTAACATTTGTTTGGTGTTCACATTAAATAATAAGTTTTATCAATAAAAACTCTTTAAAAAGACTATAGAAAGGGAGAAAATAGGGGACTTTGCTCATGTGTTTAAAGAGATCAATCCTTGCTTGAAAGTTTTAAATAATAGAAATTGTTTTTGTGGATGGCAGCTCTCAGTTTTTATGGGCTATTAAAAGCCTTTTCTATTTCTTCTCCAAAAGGAAACGCGGATATAAAATGTGAGGGGCAAGAATACCAAGAGTTGGCAAAATGTCTCAGGTCTGTAATTCAGCTGCACAGACAACACATGTGCCATTTAAGACCTCTGGGAATCACAGCTAACAATTGAAGAGATCAGGTTGCTCAGAAATTGTTTTCAACCTTGCCAAGGTGGTCAGAGCCAAGGATTGTAAGATTAAATCTATCCTGACTGGCTAAGCCAGACCCTTACTCCAGTATGTTGTGAATACTTTTCTGATCCAGGAAGAGGCAACTAACTGGATCTCAGTGTGTTATAGTGATAGGGACTAATTATTTACTCAGTGGAATTATTTTTACTGGTATAAGAAAGAGAAGAATATGTGTCTTAGCATTTACACCCTCCCAAGAATCAAATAAAGATAAAATCCTCATTCATAGTTATGGGATAAACAGACTGTCAGTGAACTTTGTCAGTCATTGCAAAAGGCGTTAAGACCAAGCCTGATACTAAACTTGACAATATGCAATTGGACACCTCACCAGAATTTGGTATGTCATAGTGCTCAACCTCTTGTATATGCTTCTTTGAAGAATGTCTATTCTCCATTCCACTATCACATGCACATCAGTTTGAATTCTGATTTTTCAAATGTAATCTCATGAAACAATTTGTAAATGCTTTACTGAAAATCAGATTTATTATATTGTGCACATAACCTACTACCTTTAATTTTATAATTCTGTTAAAATGATTGAATGTGTCTGGCACTGTTGCTTTTTGAGAAGTTCATTCTACTTATTTATAACTATAGGTTTACTCAGCAGTCATGCCAGGATCTATTCCCCACAATCATTATTTTATTTTGTTTTTTGGAGAATGGTATCATATCTGTGTCTTTCCAGTACTCAGGTTCCATTGGTGTTTCACTTTTTAAAAACTGTCAATGGGTGAAAACATTTATTAGCTAATCTGTTACCATATGGGGTACGGATCCTGATCTAGAATGTGCTGCTTTGTCATGTGAATGTCTATCCACTCTCCAAGTAATGATGGGCTGTCAGGCCAACATGGAAAGCATGACTAACAGTGATACTGAAACCAACATAGCTAATCACCGGCAAAACTATAGATCTGCAAAGACCTTCAGCCACATCTTAAACTGAGCAGCCAGTGTACCAGAGGGAGGGATAGAGATGCATAAGTGAGTATTTCTAGAGTATCTATGCCTGAAGCATCAGCTAATGGTAGTATTTAGTAATCATTAGTATTTAGTATCTATTACTGGATAAGGAATTGCAGCAATATTTCCATCTTGTGCCAGGATAAGGAAATCCAAAAATGACATTAAAAATTCCCCCTTAAAAACAGATTTTCAGGTCAGTTTTGTTTACTTAGGACTGGAGATATAGATAGTTCTGACAATTTTCAATAGGAGCTTAAATGTCTGGAAAAACTAAAGGAGAAGTTGTTGGATGCCTATCTGAACTAAACTCTGAAAATTTTGAAATTCACCCATCTCTATTTGGTAATCTGGGTAGAATGAGGCCTGGATCTCCATGACACAATTAGGCCAATGTAAAGTGCCTTACATTGACCTAGCTGTGATCACTTAAATTTAGCTCCCACTGACAGTTGCTGATTTAGTAACACCATCTAGACAGCATAGACACATGGTTGATGTAATTTGGTTCACAAAGTATCAGTGTAGTCGCTGCATGTTGAGTGTTACTTGCTTTCAGGAGCTGTACCACATTGCCGCTACAATCAATACAAGCGTACCTGGTGAGGACACAGACAGGCTCTGTCTACTCTGCATTTTTGTGGAAGAGGAAATGCAAATGAAGCTCTCATTAGCATTTCTCGCACTCTTATTTGCATATTCTCCTCCGATCCTTTTTGCGGAAAAATGTAGTGTAGATGGGGCCATTTTGCGCCAAAAAACCCTTTTACATGAGAACCCTTATTCCTCAAAAATGTGTCTGGCATTCAAAAATGAAGAATAAGGGTTCTTGCGCAAAAGGGTTTTTTTTTGCACAAAATGGCCCCATCTACACTACATTTTTCCGCAAAAAGGATCGGAGGAGAATATGCAAATAAGAGTGCGAGAAATGCTAATGAGCACTTCATTTGCACTTCCTCTTCCGCAAACATGATGCAATATAAACGGAGCCACAATGGTGACACAAGGAGTTGAGTATGCACACACAAG